GCAGTCGATGTGTGCAGGCAGCCTGACACGGAGCGGAACAGTCCGTGCGCTCAGATTGCTGCTTTTTTACCGGTACCGGTACTAAAAATATTCAAAACCGTATTGTTTTCAACGTAAGGGTGCCGCGGTACCTTTCTAGTACCGGTACACCGTGCAACACTACTATCCACATCCCCCACATGGGTCACTTCCAGCAGAGTGGTAATGATGATGGGGGATGGGGGGCTGCAGCAGGGGGGTTGTTTTGGCTGAGATAGGAAAGAGTTAGCGGGGAGGGAGGCAACTTGTCAGCACATCCTGCCGTAGCCCAGAAGAGCCCCCTCCTGGTCTGAGAGCAGGACCCCCTGAGGCTCAGGAGGCGACTATGATACTTCATTGATTCCCTGTAAACACGAGTTTATGCTCTCAAGCTGTATTTGCAGGTTTTTTCATACGGTACGATGTTCATTAAGTACCATCGTACTCCAGTCTGTTGTCAAATCTGCTGCTGCTTTCCACGTGTGAATACAGCCTTCGCTTGTTCAACATCCCTCTGCTCGCTTTGGTAAGAAAGAACGAGCTAGTGGCCCACAGCTGAATGCTACGTCTGCTAGCATGAGCCGTTTAGCTAACGTGCCTGCAAAAGCCAGGGAAGTGGACGACGCATCAGAAAACATCCTCTACAACTGCTTGCTTCATGTGTGGGGGATTGGGAGGGTTTGAAATAATTGCACGGTTGCATCATCTGGAGTCGCCGGGTGCAAACACTCGGAGGATAAGAATAGGTAAACAGATGTGATCTGAGGAAAAAAAAGAAGAAGTGACATTTCAGCATGTTTTTGCTGCCCCCCCCCGAATAAAGTCTCACGGCCCCTTCTGTTTTGATTTACATCTCCTACATGAGCAACAAGCGTATCTTTGTCCGACGCACATTTGTGGGTTTTTTCAGGAGAAAGAGCCCACCAGGAAACCCTTGAATAGATGATTGAAAAAACAACCACGTTGGTTTTCCGTGCATGCGTATGCATGTGTCTGAGATTGAAAACCAACATTCCACGGGCCCAATGTGCGCTCACATAAAAAACATTCTATTTAGAGCATTTTGAGCTGCCTTGTGATCCCTCCAAACCCTTTCTAATGCAAACACAGCAGAAAAAACGCAGTCAGTCAAACTCTGCAGAGACTCTCCCTCGGCCTCTCTTCTCCCTCTCATCATCTGATCGGCTATTGTGGCGACACCTTAAACACTCGCAGTGGGACGATATTGACTCAGGTGTCCACAGTTCAAACTGTGTCCTGCGGCAACATGTGCTACGTTTTTGTTTTCGTCCCCCTGAATGAAGCGCGTCAGCGTCGGGGTTGGGTATTGTGTTGTGTTGTGTTGTGTTGCCCTTTGTTATCTGCTGCAGCTGAGAAGGTTTCTGAAACGTGCCCCTGGATTTATTTCTTTCCTTTACTTTTTTTTCCTTCAGCGCCGAAACACACCAGAGCCCCGTGAGTCAGAGACGACAAAGAAAGGCGGCCAACTCTGAAGCGGGGAAGAATCTGTCTGAGCACGTGCAGTATGTGGACAGGTGCAGGTGTGTGTGTGTGTCTCTATTAATTAAAGTGCCAGTCTTTGCTGATAGCCCGTTGATGTGTCAGCCTGCCACAGTTTTGAGATCTCTCAAGTCTCAAATCGCAGCATAAATAAACCCCGCCGCCCTCGTCAGAACTCCTTCAGAAGCCCTGCAGATCCCACACGCCTCCCCCCACCTCTTCCCATCTCCCCCCCCCCCCCTCCGTTAATACTGGTCGAGACCAGAAAAAAACCCAGGAGCCAAGTGGAACGTTCCCAGGGATCTTCGCAGTGACATGTAATGCATGAAAACATGCTCTGGTGTTGTTCTAATCCTCCCCTGGGAGTCTATCACATTCGTGGGCTTGTAACGTGTCACTCCCGTCATGTGACCCCTGCACCCCACCGCAGTTCATTACACCGGCCCGGCGCCCCCGACCCGCCTCTATTGTTGTCGGTTTCCAATTACGTTTACCAAAAGGAGTCCAATGCTTGGTTTGCAATCAGCGCGGCGCGAGCTTCTCGTCACGCGGCGTGTTTGTGCAGCTAATTTCTGTCAGGGTTTGAAACACTCGTCATTCATGTCCGCCCCCCCACACGTCGGCCCCCTCGCACGGACACGTCAACGACGGGAGGGACTGGTTCCCGGCGGCGGCTCTCGGAAAATTGGAGTGAACACGGTTGTTGTTTTTTTCACGATAAATACACATAATTTATTTACAAATAAAGTGGTTATAATAGAAATAAATACAAAATAAAAATCTGAGCATTATACTTCATGTGGTATTGCACCCATTTTGAAATACATTTTCAAAACCAGTAAAGGAATATTCCTCTGATTAAAATATTTATTTTTCCCAACTTTACGTAGACATAAATATATTCATATATAGCTTTTTTTTTCTTCTTCCACAATAACTCTGTTTTGTCTTTCATATAAATAAACGTCTTCATTGGGAAACCGGGTGTCCACATAACCTCTGATGTCTCTGTCAGTCTCTTTCGCTCCACTCCACTGTCGGTATCTCACCGGCAGCCGCACCCCTCCACCACCATGTCCTGGTAGTTTTTCAGGATGACCTTCTCGTACTCGTCCAGGTAGAGCAGGGAGATGGGGCTGAGGTCAGTGGGCACGCAGCAGGCTCTGGGGATGTTCGAGTTGACCGAGTTGACCAGCGTCTGCACGATGGCGTGATTGGTGGAATTGAGATGCTCCGCCAGGGGGAACGGACACTCCCCCTGGCAGTAAAAGGCGTGGTAGCCGGGCGGCGCCACTATCCACTCGTTCCACCCCACGTCGCTGAAGTCCACGTACAGGGCGTGCCTCTTGCAGCTGGCCTTGTGCTGGTGCTTCCTGCGCTGTTTGCGGAGCGCCGCCTGGCGCTTTTCCCGCGTGTGGAGCACCGAGTCCCCGCGGCCGTCGTGACCGTACGTCACCAGCAGAGGCCGAGCCTGAGGCCACGAGTCCCGGTCCTGGTGCAGGGACCGGCTCACCCTGACGTGCCTGCTGCGTCTCTGGGCGTGCTCCCCGTCCGTCGCCCCCTCCTCTGGGTGATGCACCTCCACCATGAAGCCATGGTTGCGACCTTTCCCGGCGGTCCACTGAGACACGGCGGGGCTGACGTCGAAGCTCTCCCAGCGGCTCAAAGAGTCCCGCACTAGCCGAGTGTCCAGCAGACGCGCCAGGGGCTCCCCACCTTGGGCGGAGGGAACTCCAAATATCTCATAAATGTTGATGCGATGGAAGCCACCCGCCGGCGCGCTGACACTAGTGCTGCTGTTCCCGGCGCTGTTGTCGGGGGCCGCGGCTCCCATGACCTGGTCCCTGTAGACGCGGAGCTCTGCGGAGGTGATGAGCTCCTCCTCGGGGATCGAAGTGAGGTTGAAGTAGAACTGCTGGGTTGTTTTACCCTTCAGCCGGGCCAGGGCCTCCATGGACTCTGCAAGAGATGGCACACGGACAGACATGGCGTGAGAGGACGTATGTGTGAAGTCCATTCCAACGAGGAAACAAAGAGTCAGGGCACGGTTCAAGAACGTGAAACAACATCCAGGATTCAAGCCCAGCGAGTTATTGGCAAAAGACGGTTCCTCTCATGGTTTCCCTCTCCGTCTCTGTCTCTCTCAAAGACGCACACACACACACACACACACACACACACACACACACACACAACTGCCTTCTGCGCGGCCAAGCTGCCACGTGGTTACGCAGAGCGGCTGTGGGCCATTGTCACACACACACACACACACGCGCGCGCACACACGTTGTCTCTTTGCGTGTGTCACTCTGTGTGACGATGTTCTCGCGGTGATTTAATCGGTGTCATGCTGGTGAATTCACGGTGAAAGCGGCGCGCTTCCAGACACGCTCGCCAGTCGGCCTTCTAATGTCAAATTAGCCTTTTTGCTTCGGCTGCTGGCGTACGCGCAGAAGAGGAGCATGAACAGAAGGTGAATGTGGAAATCAGTATAAACCTGATTGAATAAGTTCCTAAATAAATGTCAACTGTTGCGTTAACCTTTAAGCAACTGCCCCCCCCCCTCTGAAATGTCACTGCTTTAATGTGAAAGGTTGTACTTCCATGGTAATAAGGCCTATGCGATGTCTCAATTTGCATGTACAGCCCATAAAACGTAAAGCTGATACAACGTTGCTTTTATTTCACCAATCAAAGCGTAGAAACCCTCTGCGCGAGGTATTCCCCTTCCATGCGTGCACATTACAAGACACAAGTCGAAGCTGCAATTTTCTTTAAGGCTGCTCTGCTTTGAACTTGCACTTTATGAAGTTCATAGAAGACGTATAGACGCACTTTTTAATCTGTTCGGTGTGGTGAAACAAACACAAACTTTGAACCGGGTGCGCTTTCAAAGGAGCCATTTAGGAAATTCCACCATCTCATCCTAAACCTCCCTCCAGAGGCACAAAGACCTCAATTAGGCCTATCACTGCTCATTTGATGTGGGAAAGCCCCCTGTCTCTCTTTCCCTCTCCCCTGTCCCCAATCCCTCTCTTTCTTTCCTTCCTCAGCCCCCCCAAATCCCCTTCTCCCTCTGTTCTCCTTGCCCCAAATCCTGTTTTCTCTACGCCTCCTCGTCTGTCACTCATTCTCTGTGTATTCTGCGGCTCACTCTCTCCCTCCTGTCTCTGTTCTGTGTGAACGAGTTGCGGCTTGTCGGGAAAAAAAAGTGTATCAACATTCCTAATTTCATTTTGCGTCACGTGCCAAAACAGAAGATAAAGGCTAATGTCGGGTCATTCATCACGGACCTGTCTTCAGGCATGCAGCCACTTCCTGCGTCATGGTGGAAATGTTCTATTTGGCACGGGGGAAATGGTTATTTTTGAAAAGCGATTGGAGTGAAACTAAGTACCCGGGCACATATAATATCAGACGGCCGATTGGATGAGTGATTAGAGCGAGTTTGCATCGACGCGCTGCGCTTACATCAGTCGATGAAATGCTTGTCACGCGGAGTAGCCGTCAATTGCGCGTCTCTTGACGTGGGAAGCCTTAACAAGCCTGCAGCTCTGTTAGCATGGGATGAAAGAGTCAGCGGAGCGTGTGTAAACACTGTCTGAACACATCGGTAATGGCCGGTGGTGTCAAGGTGTTTGCTGGCCAGCTGCAGAGGTTTCCAGTAGTGGGCAGGGAGCAGTCACTCAGCCCGGCGTGTTTGTAGTGTGTCAGTGTAGCCACTGGGTGTCATTGCACTAGGCCTCTGGAGAGCACCCAAGCAACCACTCAACCACCCCTCTGACTCACCCATGGAAACTTCCCCACTAAAACACTTAGGACTCTGTACAAGGACTCTGTGTGGAGCTCCTATGGACTCGGGTGACTTGAACGTTGTTAAGTGGAATATAGGAACCTAGCGGATAGAATGATACAGAGCTGCTATGTTCAACGAGTAAAGGTATTTTTTTTTTTTTATCATGTCATTCATTCATCATCCTCTTGATAGTACGACCAGGGCCTCGGGGCACTGCTGCACGGGTTTATAAGCCTCAGTCATGTTTGAATTTCACCTGTTGGATTATTTTAGGCGGCTTAAAATAACCGTGGTCGTCTGTGGCATCGTGTAAACACGGCGTACAGCTGCTGAACTAATGCACCGTATCCACGTGTGTGCGCCTCATTCATCAGGGCAGCGTGTGTTAACTTAAAAATGGAATTGAAACAGCGAACTTAACAAGCGACGTGTATCCAAGGTAAAAAAAAAACAAAAAACGGAGCGAGCAATTGTGGTTGTTGGAACGCGCGTAATGGCGCACGGCGCGCAGAGAGGGGCGATTCGGATATAGTACGAAACCGCGCGACACTCTCATTGGCCTCCTTTTTTTTTGCCAAGGACTCGTCTAGGTCCTGTTGGAAATGACTCAGAATTCCGTCTAGCCCGATATGTCACAGCGCGTGCCCGCGTAATGCCATGTCCCGTGTCCTTGAGGTGAGACGGAGATGACTATCACCTGCGCGCCCGCGCACGCCGCCCTTTATCCCACTCCTATGGTGCGTGTCTGGAAAAAAAAAACTGTTTTCGGAGTCCCACGCAAACACCATCAATTATTAAGAAACAAATTACCGCAGGCACACCGCCGCCCACCTTGATGTTTTCGAACCCCGTGACAGCTGCGCCAGAGGGGGACGTTTGGGTAAAGGCTGTGACACATAACGTGGACGCGTGTCACCTGTAAATGACGAACGCTCCATAAAACAGAGAAGACTCTGAAGTTCGGCCCTGGCGCACTAGTCATGTTTAAATATAGGCTGGTGCCGTCTGAGGGAGACAGGTATGTCACTAATACATACCTTCGTGGTGAAAGCTTCTAATCGTGTTGGCCTTGCTCGCAGCCCTCTCTGCGTGCCTCCCCATGCTCTTGGGTCGTTTGGCGCTGTGGTCTCCGTTCGCTGAGTGCATGCGGTAAAGATCCACCATGTACTGCGGCACCACGGCTTGCCTGCTCGGGGTCGGCCTGCGCCTCAGTCCGAACATGTTGAGAAGCCGGAGCTCGAACTCGTGGAGGAAGCTCTCCGACCGCTCGGGGGTCTGCTTCCCGGACTCGCTGTATTTCCTCCGGCCGACCTCGGGGATGAGTCCCGTAGCACCTTCCAGCAACACCTGAGCGATCAGCAGTACCATGAAAGAGCGGACCACGGCGACCATGATCAGTCAGTCCCTGCGGAGAAAGTTGGTGTCGCGTCAATACACTGGCGCTGGGGTATTGACATGGGGGCAGACACAGCAGGGGCTTCTCCAAAAGTGAGCGCAACACTCCCCCCCCCCCCCCTCCTCACCCCACCTCCCCTCCTCCCATACAGTAGGAATGATTGAAGGGCTGCAGGTTAGAAAGGGAAGACAGGCTCCTCACTTTGAAGTAGAACAAAAAAAAAAAACAGAAAGAAAAAAAAAAAGGGGGGGGGGGGGGGGCTGCGAAAAACAGCCCCGCCGGCGATGGAGCGCGCCTTAGCGCACCAGATTGATCTCAACGGGAGCAGAAGCACAAATATCAAGGTGAGGCAGGTATGGAAGAGACGAACAAAAATGACAAATCAAAGAAAGAAGCAGGGGTTTTTGGAGAGGGTGGGTAGGGAGGAGGAGGAGGAGGAGAGGGGGGGGGGGCACCGCAGACATACAGTCTGCAATTAGAAGAGATACGAAAGCACGTTTTAAGTGCAGCGAGCCGACGCGCGTCTGGTTCGCGGAGGCTTCGGCGGTCATGTGTAATCAGAAGGGATAGAGTTACTTCAAGGGGCTCGCAGGTGTTACATCTGACGTGCGTAACAGAGACAGATGTGACCCGGGACAAGACATTTAAAAAAAACAAAAAAACAAGACAAACAAGAACTTCATATGTTGGGGACGCTTAAACTTTTACGCACACACTCGGTCAGCGTCATTTACACCAGACGGCGTGTGGTTTATTTGCCCAAAATTCCTCCCGGCGGAGAAAAAGTGTTTTCCTGCAGGAGAAGCGAGGACCGGTTGTCGTACCATCTAGGGGAGAGATAAAATCCACTATAATTTCGTGTATAATCCCAGCTTTTTTTCCCCCAGGGGACCCCAAGACGGCCCATCGCCTTCCGCGGATCGCCTCTCGGAATATTTCTCACCGGCGTGCTTCTCGGAATTACGGTTACGGTCAGCGCGGAAAGAGGGAACAAAGTCCCAAAAAGAAGCCAAAACCATCCACGAAAAAACCATATAGATACGTTCGGTTTACGAGGAAGGGGAGCCGCCGCCCACGCAGGACCGATCTATGGGGAAAGCTTCTTGGTTGAACATCTTCGAACGGAGAGCAGTTCGCCGGGACAAAATACAGACAGCGCCAGTTGATCGGAGCTGTGTCGGGGGAGGGAGGGGAGGGAGGGTGGGGGGGGGGGAGATAAGCGCACTCAAAGCGTCGCTCCTTGGACCTTGTTGCCTCCAGTCGGGGAGCGCGTCGCCTCTCCTCTGTGCGCCACGGCGTAGTGGTTGCATTGATTGGTGCCTGCGCTTCCCCCAGCGACCCTTTTTGTCGTGCAGTGATGTCACCGAGGGCTGTCAATCATTTATCCACTGAAGAAGAAAAAAAAAAAAAAAAACACACACAACCCCCGCGCACCTCCACATGCCGCAGTGCCGCAGCGTTTTCACGTTTAAACGCGCTTTAGTGGCCCAGTTTGGATAAGAGTTTCCCCCCCGACAGCCTCACGGGATTTGCTTTTGTATTATATATTATGAATTGGAGTCCTGCTGCTTTACAGTCCAATTAAATGATTCTATAAAATGCTGATCCCCACCTCGATGTTTGAGCGCATATATGAATAGAATATCTGTCGTTATTACAAACAACTCTTTTTGCTCACCTATACATGTCCTGGAAATTCACCCCATAAAAATAGTCGTTCAGTCAACAGTTAAAAACCATACTGTTGCTTTTAGTTGTTTGTTTTTGAGGTTATGTTCCATACTAGCGATCGTCTATTTGTGTTGCGTTTTTAAATAACATCACATTGGCTTGTCGTATAGTGCCATGGGGGGGGGGGGTGTAATATTCCTATGTGAATGTGACCGCAAGAGGAAGAAAAACAACTCATGCTGGTTCACAAATAGATAATTGCCGAAGGTGTTAATAGCTGGATCAAACATGTTTGTATTAAGGCTGATAGATAAAGGCCTCACAGTGCGTTACGTTTGTGGTTTTAGAGGATTAGTCCCTGCACTGGACTGTCACGTGCTCCTGCTGAACTTCACTGTCTGTGTGTGCGTGTGCTTGTACACGTGTGTCTGACCCCAGAGCAGATGTTTACATGCCTCATGTCACTTGACAGCACATACTCACTATAGTATTGACAGCTTTTGGCAGCACACATTGCTGCTTTAGATGAGCTACAGCACAACACGTTGAAAGTCTGGTCTGCTATGACAGAAAGAAACGTGTATATGTTTTATTTCAATTTCTGTCCAGTGTCGTCTTCTGAGACAGAGGTTTGCTGCGTTGTTTTCGGGCTGCGGGGGGGGGGGGGCTACCCAGCACTGATGTTTGGGTCATCTGCACAAAAAAAGCCCCCATTGATTCCCTGCAGTGAATCCCGTTAGGTGACGGCGGTTCAGGCCTGTTGAGGCCAAAGCGCTCGGCCTGTTATCTTTCGGAGAGGTGGCAATAGATTAAATTCCCCCCTCCCCCCCCGACAGATCACAAGATATCTTTCTCTCCTAACAGGACGATAACATTTTATGAGGGATAATCCCAGATCTTCCACTTAGAAATTAAAATCCGGACGGGGCCCGGGTGTGCGTGCCGTTACCTGAGAACGCCGGGTGCCCTCGAATGGTGGCCTTCCCCTCGCTTCCAGCGCCATATACTTTGTCTAGGTGAAGACATTCCATTCATCTATTCTCCCATTCAGTCATAAAATCAAAGCACGAGGGGGCAATTCATCCCGCGTAGCTCTAGATCAGGCAATTATTGTCGTGTTAATCCGTTGGCAGCGATAGCTGGGCTCCCTTCTGTTGCCAAAACACCTTTTTGCTGGAGCTGGCGCTCAGAACCCAAACGCAGGTAAAAGCTGCTCGGCATTTATATGCTTTAGATTGCAGGATAAGGCCTCGCACAGTAAGCCGTGAGTATCTTTAATTACCCCAGTGAGAGGATTAGAAAGAGAGGGCTTTATCTGAGGCTTTCTCCCTCTTTTCCCTCTTTTGAATGACTGACCATGTAAAGGCGTGTGTTTTGAGGGCACGTGCATGCGCATATTGTGTGTGTGTGTGTGTGTGTGTGCGCGCGTGCCTTTGCGAAGCTCGCGTCAGACCCGGGCCGAGGAATGAGGGTTGAGGACTTGATCAGTGGTGCCCACAGTGGTTTGAGAAGATCACGCGGCTGTGATGCGATATGCATCATTGTTTTGAGCCAGATACGTCGCTCTTATCTAATCGCTGAGGCTGATCCAATTACATGCTGATTGAAAGGACAACATGGCAGAGCGAGAACCCCCTGGAAGCCGGAGGGGGGGGAGAGAGGTGTGTGTGTGTGTGTGGGGGGGGTGCAGATAGAGGTACGCTATCTGAAGTACAAATGAACGACCTCTGAGAGGTCAAACTGTGACCCCCCCCCGGCGCGACCGCCGGCCGCCACTGGGCTCGTTTGTCTGCCTCCCACGGGCATTTGTTTGTCCTCGAGGGTGGTGGGTAGGTGTCCGAGAGACACAGAGCGACTCACACGGGCCTCGGCTGTGGTCAGGACAGCAGTTCACAAACCTCCCTGGTCGTATTTCTAGATGTTGTACTCTTTCGAGCGGCGAGCGCACAACGTAATTTAAGTGAAAAAGCAGTTTTGTCAAACCAAGTGCGTGTGCTGGCTCCCCCGCAGTCCTCAATTCCATCATTTATTTATTTACGCTGGAGCAGTTTCACATATCCTACAACCATTTATCACCGTAGACAGGAACAGTAACATTTTCACATTTGGGCCTGCAGGAGAATCAAAATCGCCACAGGTGTGTTTGCAAAAACAACGGAGCATCTGCACGTCCTCATAACGGTGGTTTAGCTCGGCGCGGTTGTTATCAGCTTAAACTGGAGTATTTGGAAAGCCTCTTGTCCCGGCGGGGAGGACTAACACGACCGCCCTCTGATCCGTCCCCTCAGGGGCCTTCGGTCCAACGGCGCGACTGAGCGCTCTCTGTTCCAATTCACCTATTCCTTTACTCTGAGATCCAGGTAGAGTAGCGCGCGGACGCCAGGTCAGTTTTGTTTCATGAAACGCACATTTCCTCGTCGGGGCCGAAATATATATATTCTCCTCATCATTTGAAAGTCGGGTTTCTTCACCGGTGCGTTCCACGTGGCGTAAACCACCATCATGCACTTTTTCTTTGGCTAACAGCTGTATCACTTTATTCCATGGAAATCCCCTTGAGGAGGAACAATGCGGAATACACTTACAACAAAAAGTCACCTATTCAGGAGGGAGTATTTGTGGTTATTCCAGGGAGATTAGGAGAGAATGTGTTTTGTTTTTTTTGACACAAAGACTAGAAGACATGGTTTATTGTCCTCTGCTCACCAGAGTCCTGTGCGCGCTCATGTCTCTGCGTGCCACAGTGTGGGTGTGTGTGTGTGTGTGTGTGTGTGTGTGCGTGCAGGCGTGCTGTGCTGGACGCGGATGGCGCGGCCTTCTCTTGTCATCACGTACATTCCAGGAGTCGGGGGGGCAGACGAGGCCCTGAGATGACACTGCAGATGCAACTATTAGCCTTTCACCTGCTGTTAACAGAAACTTGGCGAGACACGGGGGGGGCCTGCATTCCTCTGCCTTCGGCCAGATGTAGTCTTAACACACAGCAACATACCTACAAGGAGATAATCTTCCGAGATGCTGCTCAGGAAACCCACCGGCGATCTGTTGCCGTGGCTCGCCTGGTTTCGACGCCGGAGCAGAGCTGCCCTTTTTTTTTTGATTTGGAAAAACCAATAAAAAACGTCATCAATCCACGTGTTTTTGACAGGACGGAATGGAGAGTGAGACACATTTCATATAGGTTGTTCCCAAAATGGAAACCCACCAAGGTCAGAGACGGCCGGCTCGAGAAGCGGAGTCAATATTTATGGATACTGAACATGTGGCACACTTCTCTACCCACTAATTTGAGCAACAAGTCCACCCCCAGATTATACGGCCTCGCAGAGATCACAAAATGTTTCACAAAATGTTTTTGCATGTTTCAAATATGGAGAAGCGCGATGGGGTGGGTCGTCGCGAAGAAGCTGTGCGCAATTTG